GAGAGAGAGAGAGAGAGAGAGAGAGAGAGAGAAATTCCCTTTGGGTTTCCCTGCATTGTGATCCCTTTCAAGCAACCCTTACCCAGTTATTCTGGAGCATAAAAGAAAGTGACAGATGCACAGATTTTAACCAGTTTTTTTAACCAGTATATATTTTGACATTCAGTTTCATGGAGATAAATGGAGATGATCCCTTATTCACTCTTCACATTTGCATTTGATGACCAAATTTGATTTTACGAAGACAAAGAGCTGAGGATTTTATGAGAGAAGTGGAACCAAACCATTTGGCCTCTTCTCACTTTCTTCCTCTGCTTGAACTGTGGCTGGGTCACATTTGTTAAAATAGGACATTTATTACCCTGTCTTTCAGCCTCAATAAAGATGCAATCAATAGTCACATCACAACCATTCAACTTTAAGCACTGTGGGCATGGTTCCCCTGAAAGAGGAAAGTGAAAAGAAACCTCAAACTTTCCAACCTTATCTTGCTCTCTGGGGTTGCTTAGAATTATTTCTAAGGTTGATTCATTTCTGAAAACTGAGTGGGGGTGGGTGGGTTGAAAATGAAAATTAATTTGGATTGTAGAGCTTTTGGCGCTCCATCTGCTTCAAGGGGGATCTCCCAGATGTAAAAAAAAGGCATATTAAAGGTTTTTTAAATAATTAAAAAAAACAATGATAAAATTTTAATTGGTTATGAGTTAAAATAGAGATAGAAAGTAGGTCTCTGTGTTCTCTCTTGAGCTATCACTTATTCTTTCTAGCGTTTCTCTACAAGCTTTGGGGATAGTGGAGGGACATACATTCAATCTCAAATTATTATGGCCTCATTTTTAAGTCATAAGACATAAGACGTAAGAATTGATTTGTCATTACACTCGCTAGCAGGTGCAACGAAATGAGGTGCTCTTCCACAAAGTAAAACTGGACAAACACCACTAAAAGAAAAAAAATTGAACTAAACACAACCAACCATACAATAATCTCTATGCAATTTAAAAATGTAAATACCCCATTACTCTCAGCCATTTAAATTCCACAAAAATGTTATGACCCTGCATTCATACTCAAAACTGCACTTGGATAAAAACTGTTCTTAAATCTGGTCGTCCTTGTTCTTAATACCCTAAATCTCCTTCTCGATGGTAATAGTTCAAAGAGCTGATGTCCCAGATGAGAGGAGTCATTCAATATATTAAGTATCTTCCTCTTACATCTATTCCTATACAGTTCTTCCAAAGAGGGGAGTGAGCAGCCAATGATGTTTTGAGCCGTCTTGATCACCCTCTGAATTGCCTTTTTCTCTGCCACTGTGCAGCTCGAGAACCATACACAGAGACAGTAGGATAATATACTCTCAATTGAACTCCGATAGAAGGTAGTCAGTAGACTCTCAGCCAATTGTTGTTTCCTAAGAATCCTTAGTAAATACAACCGTTGTTGTGCCTTCTTAATTAAAGCAGCGGTGTTTGCGCTCCAAGTCAGGTCATTTGTAATGATGGTCCCGAGAAACTTACATTCCACCACCTGTTCCACACGAACTCCCTCTATATACAGTGGCTGATGGTTTTTTAAAGTCACGATTACATAAATCTCTTGGCTTCCATAAACTAGCTGCTTTGGATCCATTGCTCATAATCCATGGATTACTAACATTTCAGTCCTCAAACACCAGTTTGAAATATAAGATTTGTTTTAGACTTTATAGAAGCCTGATAAAACATTTTCTCTCCCATGTTGGTTTTTAAAAATGAAAGTTGAACCCACCCGCTATAGGAGGGTTTTCCTGGTCAATAGAATTTATGTAACACAAGGCTAATAAAAGCCACACAGCTTTTTGAAAAGTTAGAATAGGCAGCAACTGGTTTTCCCTGTATCCAGTTTTCTTTAATGCTTTGCATTCTTTACAATGTATAATACAAGCCACACTTCCCTTCCCTCTCCTTCAATGCTTTCTTTAAGAAAATGTCTATTGGAAGGAATAGTATTGGGGTTCTGTTTCCTGTAGGCTACAGTACAGAGAGGTGTATGCACATACGTTCAATGCAGACATACACATGTAGAAGTATGATTTGCAAGTAGGCTTGACTTCCCCTATTAAGTTATTTCCTAGAAAAATGTGATAGTAGCTTGGAGGGTTTTTTTTTTTTTAGGCCAAGAAATTTGAGAGATAACCAGAGGCAGACCATCTGTAACAGATGATACGTAGCTTCATTTATTTGATTGTCAAATTCTATTCTCCAATATTCTTATTTTAAAAAAGCATTACTGTCATTCAGCTGAAATTTATCTTGCTGTAGTTCAGGTCTATTTCATCTGCTCTGAGTAGCAACGAAGAACAAGCCTTTGCTCTTTTCTACTGGTCAATTCAAGTATTAGAAAAGTCAGAAGAGTCTCTACAATAAGAGGGAACTTTCTGCTATATAGAAATTGCTATATTTGCCTTCATTATAGTTAGTTCCTCAGTAGTCTATCTGAGGTGAGTTACTATTACTTGCCCCAGCTCCTGCCAACCTAGCATGCAACTGTGAGTAGATAAATTTCCACTTTGATGGGAAGGTAACAGCATTCCATGTGCCCAGCATATAGCTATGCTGGCCACATGACCATGGAAATGTCTTCCAACAATGCTGGCTCCCTTGGTTAAGAAGAGCTGGACGCAGGGGAAATCTTTATCTTTAATGAGTGATATATCAAGTTTTATAAATAGAAGGAGACAAGTCAAAGCTATAAAACATAGCCAGCTTACCAACCCTAATTAGCTTTGTTTGGTGCCTGGGTTGGCTTTCTATATAGTCCACATATTCTCAGATGGGAAAGAAGACACCAAATATATCTCCCTACTTATAAGGCTATCTTCCTGAAATTGTTTTTAAGATCTGTTTTAGCCCATCCCTGCAGCATTAAATCTCAGTGAAATTGATTGGCAGTAAAACAAATTAGAAAAGACAAAAGAAAATCCTTTTACTCAGTCACTAATGTATGGAATTTGTTGCCAGGAGACGAGAAGTGGTGCCTTTGGAAAGTGTTAGGTTAACAAAGCTGGTAGTTAAGTGGAATTTCTGGTTAGTTGGTTGGTTTATTCATGAAAGCTATATATGTGCATGCATCACTCTCTCTCTTGCTCTTACCAAACCACAGAGATTTAAAGCAATTATAAAAATACACAATAAAAAGATCAAATAGATGAGCAGAATTTTTTTAAAAAGAAATAGAAATAGTATAAAAAAAATCAAAAACCTGCAGCAAGCATTAGGGTTGAAGTCTAAGAGCTTAAAGTAAAAATCATTGTAAACATGCTTTTGTGAAGCACATGTAAAACATTATCAGCTTTGCAGCTTAAGGTGTCATACAACTGATGTCCCTCAAGATCAGAGGTCTCCAAACTTTGCAACTTTAAGATGTGCGGACTTCAAAACTCCCAGAATTCTCCAGCCAGCATAGCGTGACTTCCTTGCTCTTCTTGTGGGCTTTTAGGAAGCATCTGGCCAGCCAGCATTGAACAGAGAATACAGAGATAAATCATGGACCCAATGACTGCAGAAGCACAGATCCTTCTTGTGTTCTTTTGCACTCATGTTAATTGTTATCCCTTTTCCTTCTCTCCCATTTGCTCCCCTATCGTGTATGAACGACTGCAGAAACAGAGGGATGAGGACTCGCCTGGGCTGTCTGTCTCAGAAGTCAGACTCATGCAGCGACTTCACAGCCATCCTTCCGGACAAACCAACTCGGGCTTTGAAGTAAGTTGGGGCCTTTATTTTCACTGAGGGATCACTTTCTGCCCCCCCCACCTTTTGTCAAAGACCTACTGATTGACCATTTTCAGGAGACACAGGAGAAATCTTTAAAAATATGAATCCTTAATGATTTTCATGAGTGAGGGTAAAAATAATATTTACAGATTTCTTGTTACTATAGCAATCCTGGCTTCCTGTATACCATTTTTAACAAGACAATTGGCAAGGTGAAGGAATTTACCAAGATAGGGAGAAATGCAATAACTGGCAAGAAGGGTAATGATGAGATGTGTGTAAGAATGCTCTCATGTGAGTGCTACAATTAAGTACTTGCATAAATAGGATTATCTAAGTTGTTATTTTCATACTGATGACATAATGCATGTATCATCATTGTCCCCTCCCCCCCAATATCTACAAGGGGAATGGTATGGAGATTCTGATAAACAATTTAATAGCAATTATAGCTTTATTACTTCAAATGGGTTAATTTGCAGAATGCATCCAAAATCCAGGACCCATGATCCCCATGGAATTGAAATTTGGCAGATTTTATAAAACATATGACATAAAAATGATCACAAAACAGTTTATAGCATAATACAAAATGTCATAAAACAGTGGTTCTCAAACTTTTTTTTCACCATGGGCCCTTATAAAACTAAACGAAATAATACAGTCTCAATGGATCCTTACTATTAGAGACTGAATAAGGCCATTTTCCCACTGATGTCCTACAAAGACATTAAAACTTTCTCATGAAGAGATAGCCTAGCAAACCATGTTTAGTTCAAGAATTTATTCAGAACTGAGATCAAAATTAATTCACCACGAAATCCACTCTTTTATAATTTATAAACAGTTGGACATCTCTTGTGGTTCAACAATTGGGAGTCTGGGACTTTGTGACTCTATTGTGTGTTTATTTTCTGCCCATTCCTGATACAGCAGAATAAGCTATTAATTGATCTGTAATATTATCCAAATTATTTCAGGTACATAATATGGACACATCAGATTTATAGAATTTTAATACATTATTTTTGGACATTTTTTGTAGCTCTTGACTTTCCCTTTTCCCCCATAGAAGATTGTCCACAGAAGAAACTACCAGATGGGCCGATTCTTTTGATGTTCTCCTGAGTCATAAATGTAAGTGGAAAAGTCTGTCCTTTACACTGAACTATTTGCCTTCAGCTTAAAAATGTGCCTATAGTTTATTAATAAAGAATTACTGAGTAATTATACATGCAGCAGGAGAGGGATTCAGTTCTCTTAAACTCTGTGGTGGATTGGATACCATGGGGATTTTCTTTACATGGGTGAGTTTTAAATTGATTCTGACAAGTCCAGGAGGAAATCAATGTAACTTTTTTTTTTTTCAATTTCAGTTGCTATTATTCTCAAGTGACAAAACGTATTTCAGTTTTTTTTTTTTTAAGCAGAGGTGGCCAACTTCATTTCAACTGTTTCTAGATCGCCGCTCCTATCAGCCATAGTTATTGCCCCCCCCCCACCCCCAGTTGACAGCCATTACAGCTATAATACTGTGATGGAAATTCCAAATCAGGAATGAAAAGATAAAAGATAGGGAAATCATATTTATATATTATGTGCTACGTGCATTTCCTTAGCCCTAGTTTTTACATGAACGAGATAGGGAAAGGAAGTACATTGCAGCTTATAGAATTCTTTCCAAAGTCTTGATTATAGCAAGCGCTAGTGGTCACGTGTTTGGGAAGGAGGAGGAGGAGGAAGAATGCAGATTAAAATTGAGAAGTTGGGGATATTCTGACTCCCCTACCTAATTGGGGGATTTTTTTAAAAACAGATTTCTTCTCTTTGCAACTCTCAACCTTCCATTTTCAATCTTCTACCAAATGTATTTCCACCAACATCACATTTTGTCCGCTTCTCTTAATTTTGGGGAGAGTTATCCTACCGATGGACGGCCAGGTGGACAATTGAACAGGCAGTAACTTAAGTCCCTTTATAGAATGTATTTCCAACTTTTTTTTCCTGTGCGAAGAGAAAGAGAGATTCACATGAAATGATTAGATGAGTTTCCATGGTTGAAGGTGCATTGGAACCTGGGTGTCCCCAGTATAAACCAGCACTTTTTGTCACTATACCAGGATGGTCTTTCTTTTTTCGCCACACCCTGATCAGATGAGCTGACTATGGCTGAGTTATTGTGGTTTAGTTGTTTTGGAAGAGGAACCATTCTGAAACCAGAACTGACAGAGCTCCAGCCTCACCTTCTCTGTGGCAGCACACTCTTTATTCCAGTATTTCTGAATTGGCAAAATGAAGGCCTAATATATTGATTTCCAGCTGTATTTAAAAGATGCAAGACTGAATTCTGGCTCCAACCTACCTATACTGTCTATACTGACCCCAAACCAACCCATCTATACTGCAAATCTCTCTTTGAGATGTCACCCTCTTATTTGGTCAGACATAATAAATAAAACCTCCTAGGAGTTTTTAATCAACCCTTCTTTCTCCTGAATGTAGTTGTCAAGGTTTGAGAAACTTTACAGTATAATAAGCATGTCATGCAACAATTTTTGCTGAAAATAAAACATTGGAGACCTAAAAGAGACAGATGCTATTTTTCAACAGTAACCCCACGTTCTAAATATTGGTCCCCTCACATCATGAGTCTTGTTCCCTCTTTATATTCCCATCTAAACAGCAAGCTTTAGGATTTTTCAGAGGTATCTAATAAGTTAATTAAAATGAGTGGAAATTGGGCATTCAGAACTCTAAGGTAGGCTGCAGATTTCCGCCCACAGCATTGTTTGGTATGAAAAGCTACTTATTTCAGATGGCGCACAATATAATTTATGTTCAGCAAGAAAAACCTACAATCTGCCATTTCCATATAATTTTATTTGAATCTGTGAAGCCATATAATCAACTTGCTTTGTGTCATTTATAACCAATCTATTATCCCAGTGGTAGTCGTGAAAATATTATTTTGGTAAGCTGACATATTTCTGTTGATATCAACGTATGTGCTGATATTAAACACATGGTTGTAATTTTTTATGAACCTGCCACACATTTTAGCCAACCGTAGTTAGATTGTTAAAGAAATATTTGAAATATGTAATGTTTGGTATAGTAGTTAAGGCACCAAGGAATGTGAGTTCTAGTTTCACCTTAGGCACAAAGTCAGCTGGAAATCATTTCTCTCAGACCTAGGAAGCAGGTAATGGCAAACTCCTTCCAAAAACTTTGTCAAGAAGACTGCAGAGACTTGTCTAAGCAGTCATCATACATCTATATATTAAAACTATTTTCAACAAGCTTAAAGTAATCATAAAATAAAGGAAGCAGTCAATGAGTAACATGAAGGATATATATACTAATTAGCTGCTTCCTTTATATTTTGCTTTAAACTTGTTGAAAATAGTGTTAATGATAGATTATGGTTATGCTTTTTAGATCTTATAAATGGCTTTGACTAATTTTGTGAGAAGGGGAAATCATGGTATGTCAATGATCTGAATAATAAATGATAGATATACTTTGTCATTGCACATATGAAAAGCATAGAAGAGGGTTTTTGTGTAGGAAAAGTGGTCAGGTTGTGTTCATATCAATTTGACTAGACCATGTATTCTTGCACAGTAAATTGAAAGCCAGAAAACATTTGGAAACAACTCAGACAGACACCTCCTTAATTCACAGAAATATAAGGAGGAAGAAGTGTAGCACAATAAGTTTTGCAAGATTCCGTTAATATATCCACTATCTGTAGAGTTGATTTCATTGTCTGGTCCACTTGATTGGGTTGACATGAATCTTGCAAGTCTCATTGTGCTGCACCTCCCTTTCCTTCTCCTGTGGAATTGGGAGATGTCTGTCTGAGCTTCTTCCAAATGTTATCTGGACATTGTGGACTTAAAAAAAATGTTTTAGCACCTTTTGCCTACTCAACAGCTTTTGCACATCTCTGTCAAGGTCATCCTCCTTACTGTCTACAAGAACATGCTGAATTAGTCCCATCTACTTGTAACTAAGGCATGTGTTATTATAGCCAGAACTGAGTTTATTGAAGATAGAGGCAGCTGGATTACCAGTCTAACTTGTGCTGGGTGCAGCTGCACACTTGTAAAGTGAGTTCAGGTGTATTCTCAGATGCATACCTGCTTCTAACAGGTTAAACAATATCAAAGACTACAGGTCTGGGAGGGCCAGGAGCACCAACAATTTATTTGATCAAATCCCAATTTATTCACTTTTAATGAGGCCATTATCACCCCAGAGACAATTCAGAAGATCTATGAAGCTGGAAAATAGAAGAGGAGGGTTGGCTGGAAGGAATGCTCAACCCAGAAGCTATTTTATTTTATTTTTGTTGAAAAGAGGAGCATCACTGCAGAAGTGAAGGAAGCCTCATCATATTTAAAGGATTTTATGTGATCAGATAGGGAGAGCTCACTTCATAAAAACCCCTATTTGAGCTGATAATAACTGAAGTAGAGAATCAATCTTCTGATTCAGTTTCTTGTCAGTTTCCTATTATCAAGTCCCTCCTTTATTTCAACTAAGGATTGTCACAATAACTGTTGGGAAACAATCAGCCTTAGAAAATTACAAAAAACACTATCCATAAAAATTTAAAGAAGAGAGTTACTACACATCAGTAATAATAAAGCAGTATTTTTTTAAATTTGTATTCTGCCTTTATTATTTTTACAAATAAGGCAGTAAATATATCCCCCCACATTTTCCACCTCCTGTTTTCCCCACAATAACCACCCCTGGGAAGTGAGTTGGGCAGTGGAGGGATTCAAATATTTTTACCACCGGTTCAGTGGGCGTGGCTTGGTGGGTGCGCTTTGTGTGCATGCACACACTTTGCATGTAGCGCATGCAGCAAATGCACACTTTGCGCAGAGGCGTTCTAACTCACCTCCTGCAAACCAGCCCTCTCCCAGTTGCTCCAGCAGCTGCTGCGCAACACTCTGCTGTGCCGCGCAAAGCAGCTGCGCTTCAAATTCAGAGGATAAAGGTGAGCATGGGAGCCCGGGAGGGCCCAACAGCAGAGGCGTGGAGAGAACCTGTTTGGTCTCTGCTGCTCATCGCTGCTACCCACTCGGCAGAACCGGGCCGAACCGGTAGAATCAGGGGTGGGATTCAATTTTTTTACCACCGGTTCTGTGGGCGTGGCTTAATTGGTGGGCATGGCTTGGTGGTCATGTGACTGGCTGGGCATGGCCAACTCAACATCACTCACATCAAGGCACGCATCTCCTCGCCTAGCCTCTTGTGACCGTGGGGATGCTGCAACAGTCGTAAGTATGAAAAATGGTCATAAGTCACTTTTTTCAGTGCCATTGTAACTTTGAATGGTTACTCCACACAAGCAAAGTACCAGCAAAAGAGGGGAAAAAAGAGAAGTTCCAGAGACAGGAAGTCTAGTCCTGCCAAGAATGTAATAAGGGTTAACGGAGAGGCAATTTCTGTAAGCAACACCAGAATGTTTCCTTCCTGCCTTCCTTACAGGATTAGCCCAGTAATTTCTTCTAACAACCGGTTCTCTGAACTGCTTAGAATGTTAACAACCGGTTCTAGCGAATAGGTGCGAACTGGTAGAATCCCACCCCTGAGTAGAATACCACCACTTGATTTGGGCTGAGACAGAGTGACTGGCCCAAGGCCACCCAGTTGGTTTTATAGCTAAGGTAGGACTGGAACTCACGGTCTCCCATTTTCTAGCCTGATGCCTTAATAAATAGAACAAATGGGCCTTTTCTTTCAGTCCCCTTATCATCTTGGTTTTCTTCCTCTGATCATGTTTATCAATGTCCTTCCTAAAATGCAATTCCCAGAATTGAACACAATATTCTAGATGTGGTCACCGAATATAAAGCATCAATACTTTCTCCTAACCCTGAAATGGTACTTCTGTTGATGAGGTTCAAAATTGTATTTAAGGTTTTTTACAGCTGCATCATAACGTTGGCTCATGTTCAGCATGTGATATACCAAGACGCTCAAATCTTTTCCACATGTATTTTGAATTCATCTTACTGGATTTTGCCCAGGTTTATAGCTTGTCAAAATCAGTCTGAAACTTACTTTCATCTCTGTTAACTATCACTTTCATGATCTTCGCATCAATTGTGAGTTTGATA